AAACTTAAGATTTATTAACATTTATTAATGGTACCATCGTGGTCCGTCCTGTGCAGAATGACAAAATGCAAAATTGTTTTTTTTACTAAAACCTCTGTAACTTTGCTCCAGTTAATTTTAGCAGCATGAATCTTTGCACAGTTAATGTCCACAAGTGGAATTATAGTTTCCAAGAGCTTTTAGCCTGATTCATTCTGGTTTTAAATGGGTTATATACTGTCAAATGCAAAAAATATTCTGGTGAGAGTAGAAAAATGTGTTCCATCCCCAATATCTCTAAAACAGCAGCTGTTTAAACACTTACAATATACTTCTGATGAAATCTCCTAAGTGTTAGCTTTATTTTGATACCAAGATTATTTAAGTGGAGTTTGTAAATGCTGAGATACACTCAATTATATTTCAGCATTGACAATTCTACATTTCTGACTTTTTTTCCCAATAAGAAGTTTTACTGCTCCACCAGGGAAAAGAATAAATACCATAACATATGGACCAAACAATTAAGGGCAAGTTGTATTTTTATTTGTATTTTCTGTCAGTAGATTCCTTTTTTTTAGTTCACCTCAAAGACTAGTTGTAAAATGCTGCTCTAACTTGCAATGAACACTCTATATAACATTTTTATGCTGTTAATAATCTTAAGTATTTAGAAAAGTGCACTTCAAATGGCTGGAAAATACACACATATATATATATATAATTTTCTGATGGATTTTGCACTGCTGGGCTGGAACTTTTGTCTACATGTATATTAGGTGTCCCTGATTGCCATTAGCAAAATATTGGCAGGTATGCAACATGTAAATACAATGGAAATTTCATTTGTTTAAATAAATCCCTGCAGTCCCAACCCCAGATTAATTAAGAGGGTTGAGTTTAAGATTATGCTGTCAGCAGCTTGAAGTCTCCCTCCAAGCTCAGATCAATATAAACCCTGGGCTATTTATGAGACACAGTGTAAAGTTATGTGGTTTTAAAGAGTTGCACAGTTGGTACACATTAAAAAGACTTAAAAATGTGTTACATTCAGTAGGTCTGTCTGGTCCAAAATGTCAGTCTTCCCCTGCTGGCACCACAGTCAGAGCAGCAGCTTCCTGTCAGGATGCAAGAGGAAGACTGACTCTGGGAGTTCTCTGCCATGGCTAACACTCAAATCTCCCAGGCACACAGTCATCATGAAGTTTTATTTATTTTTACTATACTAGGGCTGCCATGATTAGTTGATTAGTCGACGATTAATCGACTATTAAAATAGTCGACGACTAATTTAATGGTCGATTGGCAACAGAGCTCAAAAGTGTGGGATCATTTAAAGAAAGAGAAACTTGTGCAATATCTGCAAGGCAGAACTTGCCTTCCACTGCAATTATTTTTAGTTAGCATATAGCTAAAATCTAACAATGGTTATACACTCTAAAAATGAAATGTTGGATTTACTTAACCATGTTATGTGACCTGGTTCCACTTAACTGAGTTGATTAAATTCAAAGCAACATACTCATGTTCTTTGGTTAAAAAACTGGTATATTGCTTTGAATTTACTCAACTCAGTAAAGTGGAACCAGGTCACATAACATGGTTAAGTAAATCCAACATTTCATTTTTACAGTGTATAATAGCAGCTGCATTCTGGCGCAATAAGCTGTATGTTTTAAATTCAGTTAATGTATGATCCGATTAGTCGACTAATAGAAAAAGAAATCAGTGATTGGTCAACTATAAAAATAATCGTTTGTGGCAGCCCTAAAATATACTGTTCTGGTGAGTCCCAACGCTGTGAAATATTTTGACTAATCATCATATTGATGTGTGAGGCTGAAATATTAAATAAATAGTTCAAATTCCTCTGATTCTTTGACTTTGTCACATTATCTGAACAAAAACACATATTTGTGCCACAATGTCCACATTAACAACATATAAAATATAAACTTAGTTTAAGATCCATCCAAGATGGAACCAAGATCTGTTTCAGCTTGAAGTTTATCAACTGAACAAAATCAGAGATTTGAATCTAAAATGAGAATCTTTCAGCTAAACGGAGCCCTCCTGGTTTGTGTTGGGGTTGTGGCTGCTCACTGAGGCTCCTGAGGATCTGAAACCTGATGGCGAGTCGCTCCTCCAGCTCTGGGTTGTCCTCCTCTTTGTCATGGTTTCTGCTGTTTCTCAAACACTGATTTCAGTTCACCCTCCATCTTTAACAAAATAAACACCAGAGACAAAAAGAACATCTTGACTTGGACTACACTTGCCTCAGGTTAAAGGTTAAAATTGGCAGGACAGGTAAAAAGTAAGTAAAATGAGTCTGTTTTTTTTAAAAAAAAGGTTGTAGAGAAAATGTATTTTTCAAAATATTTAAAAAAATTATAATGGCAAACAAAGGATTCTTTTTCTGCCCCATATTTTGAAAATTGTGGTCTATTATGTGGAACATCCTTCAGTAATTTTTCCTTTAATTGGGCTCACCTGGCAACTAATCATCAGAGGTGTCTGACTTCAGTGACCCAAACAGCCCTGAGACACACCATCCATGAGTTTACTAGAAAAACAAAATGTATAATCTTTATGACTCTTATATACGTATATTTATTTTGCAAACTGTATTTAACCCTCCCTGTTATGTACATTTTTAAGAAACAGCAAGGGTCAATTTGACCCGGGGGATGTTATTCGTGCATTAGTCAGAAAAAAACAATTAATACCCCCAAATATTTTTATATCTGTTTATTAACTCCATTACTAACAATTTCAATCAATATTTGATGTTTTTCTATTTCTTACAGATAAAGGATCAATGAGGACAATTCACTTATTATTCATTAAAAATGCATATTTTTTATGTCCAATATATATACATTCATTAAGAAGGAGGACCCCCAAATATGCATAACACTTTTTATCTATCTCCTTCAATTTCTCCCCAAAAACACACATCTGTTATATATTAGTCACTTCAAGAATGATTTTCTGTATTGAACTGTGCATGAGTAGCTAAAAAGACTTGATGTCTGTGACTGGAGTTACTGCCATGCTAGTAGACCCTGACACTGTATATTTTCTTCACACAGTTTCCCTGATGTTTACTTGAAGATGAAGACCACTGTATTTCATCATTTTTTGACATGAATGGTTCAGACACATCATTTCCTATTCGCCTTCATGATTGAAGAGAAGTTCCAGCCCTTCCAGGGTTCTTATCTTTTTATTTCTGCTGCTCATTTTCTGAGCTCTGACACTAACTATAACACATTTATCTTGCAGTGTGTAATGTTTCTGGGACTCCCTTGCAGAGAATATTCATGTTTTCCCCCCACCCATCCCTGCTGAGTGCCCACTCAGTGTGGGTGCAGTTTGCCCACGGGAACAGAAAAGGTTCTCGTCAAAAGTTGCAAATATGTAACATGAACCATTTTTTCATTTTACTTGTAGATTATACCTATTAAGGCAAACAGAAAAAAAATTGTGCAGAAAAAATAAAAACTTTCAACTATTAAAAAAAATTAACTTTAGGGTCAATTTGACGCTGAACAGAATAGGTGTCTCAAGTTCAATTATAAACATCACTCCTTGAAAAAAAAAATTCAAAATGTAAAACAAAAAAAAATCTATTTAATGAACAATATTTTTTTGTGTGTGTAGGCTTTTGTAGTGGACATAAAAAAATGTAACGTGCATTTTTAATGAATAACGAGTGAATTGCCCTCATTGATCCTTTATCTGTGAGAAATAAAATAACATCAATGCACAAATAATGATTGAAATGGTCAGTAATGGAGTTATTAATTAGATATAAAAATGTTTTGGGGGATTTTTTTTTCCTGACTCTAATGTATGAACAAACAATCCCTGGGTCAAATTGACCCAGGAACATTATTGCTGTTCCTCAGAGACAAACATAACAGGAGGGTTTAAAAACATGTCTGCTGGAGTTCCCACAGTGACAGGGATCCTTCTCCTTCCTGTCTGTTGACCAATAGTAGAAGAGCTGACCCAGGAAGGACCGCCCACCTTATTTGCATAATGAGGCAGAAATGCATAAGGTAAAAACATAACACAAAAAATGTAAAAACAGCACAAGAAAGTAAAAAGACTTGTGGGGAAAACCAATAAAAAATATATATTTAAGAGACACAAATTAGCTACAGGTAAAAGGAAAAACCAAAATAAACATATTTCTAAAAACAGTCAAATTTAAATTTTGTGCTAAAATATATGATTTGTTGAAACTAAGCTGGAAAAAAAAGGCCAATTAAATTATAAAACGAGCTAAATTAATTGGTGCATTTCAAGTGTATTTATTTAATTAATGGACCATTTATATATTTCTGCTTTTAATTTAATTGTGAATTTCAGTCCTCCGTAGAAATGTCACAATTTGCTCCAATTTGGCTTTTTTATTCCCTACAAATGCAACAGTTTTGAACGATTAAGTTTGAACTATTCCTTCAACAAGAAAACATCCAGTACTACTTTCCTGTTTCTGTATTTGTTTTTAGCAGACACTTAAATGAAGGGTTATGATGGTTTTGTATAGCACGTGAGCTTTTTTGACCTGAAAAGACAGTGTGTTTGTGGATAAACTCAAGAGTTTGTTAAACTTCCTTCGGGATTCCCCCCACCCCACCCCCCAGTGATGAGCTCAGCACAACATGGAAGGGAAATACTTTGAAGGTATTTCAAATAGTTTATTGTATTTTTCCTGGTACTCGCCCCATAGTCACCCTCTCATTATTTCAATAATATAATCTCAATAGATGTTTCATTAAAATAATACATAATTCCTCTTTAAATACAGAACCTGAGCCTCATGCTGCAGCCACAGAAGCACATCACAACACTGTCCATATCACCATGTCCTCTACTGAAAAGCTTTGTGTGT